TTGGAGAGCATGCCAAGTGAAGGCAGCAGAGCAGCCTGCAGGCAAAGCCGGTGCCCCAGGATGGCTGAGTGACAAGCAGACGCTCCCAGAAGTGATATCTGCAGGGAGTTGCAGGAGGAGGCAAGATGGGCTTGTCCCTACCTGGAGCTCAGCACACCTTTGCCCTGCAGAGAGTCCTTTCTTCAGCCATGTCCCCCATGCCCTGCATGGTCCCAACTCCTGAGCTCTGCTCCAGGATTAAATAGTCTTTCCTTCTACTCATTGCCAGCCACACAGGCTCAGCACAGGGCTCCTGCAGCTTCTGGTGCTTTAGTAACCAAGGCTCTGTGCTGCGGCTGTCTTCCTACACACACAGCCAAGGACTCTGAAAGCAACAAAAAGACCACTGAAAAGACAACCCGGCCAGAGGAGCCCCCCATGAAGACTGCTGGAGCATGCATCCTTGCTTGGTCTGTAGCTGTGGCCTCCCCCGAATGGGTCCTCACGAATGCACACCTGGCGCTTGCTGTGCTCCAGGTCATGGTCTAAGCACTTGACACGCGAAGTCTCAGGCCTCACCTCGCCCTAGGAGACAGAAACCATTGCTATCCCCAGATCGGAGACAGACTGAGGCAGAGAGAGATGTGAGTGACTTTCCCTAGGTCCCAGAGATAACGTGTAGGGAAGCCAGTCCTGGCCTCCGTGAGAACCCTCGTCTACTTCAGCAGGCTCAAGGCAGCACCCAGGATTTAAATCGCTTTTCCTTCTGTTTCCAGCAGGTGGCACCAAAGCACCTGCCCAGCTAAGCACCTGCGCCGCTGTGCACCTGCTCCAGAGAGATTTGGCCTGACTGAATAGCGAACTGGAACCTGCTGGTGAGGGAGGCCTTTTCCTTCCAGGATCCAAGCAAGAGGACAGATGGGGAGAGCGATGCTGGGTGAGCATGGTTGCCCAAATAAATCTGCAATAAGGCCACTGAGTTGCGAAACAGTTATTCAAACCTGCCTCTGCGTCTTACAATGAATCAGAATTAGTTTTCCTTTGGGAAAGAAGCTCAAAGTCCCCCAAGTTTCAAATAACCTGGAGATGTCTAGCCTCAGAGAAAGTTAAACAAGTTCAAACAAAAATCTATCCCAAATCACGAAGCTGACAAGTGGCAAGCTGGGCTCTAACCCAGGCTCAGCTGTACACAGCACGCACGGCCTTTCTCATAGGCCATGGTTCTCCCTTGTGGAGACACCAAGTGTGTTCTGGAGTGGAGTGGAGTGGAGAGGATAGAGTCTTTCCATTTTAACAGAGGAGGAGGGGAGTCCAGGCATCAGTTGGGGTGGAAGGCTCTGCCAAGATCAGCTCAGAAGGCAATGCATAAGATGTGCCCTCTTCACAGAGGGGCCTGGGCCTTTGGGCTTACTGCCTCCCCACACCTAGCACAGGGCCTGGCACATTGTAATCCTCATGACTGTGTGGCCAGTGGGAGAATGAGGATGCGGCCAGGAGCCCAGGACAGAAGCTAGGATGAGGGATTCAGGCGTCCCTGGTGAAGTGGGACTGGGAGAGCAGTGAGGATGTTAGGAGTTCACAAGTAGAAGAGAGGACGAAAGTTGTGCCAAGCACAGGGACTGTCTTCTCTAAACTTGTTAAATCACAACCCACAGGCTCACACCCAATAATGCACACCCATGCACACAAGACACACCCAGCGCACTCAGCTGGAACCTCATTGTATGTGAAGCCCTCTGGCTTTTCCTGGTCTCTTTCCTTTGTGTAAATGCCAGTGGCCACCCTCTGATTTGCCGCAACTGAGCACAGGGTCCAGAAAAGTATGGACTTAACAGGGAGCAGCAGTCACCTTCAGGGGACGAACTTCCCTGAATCTGTAGTGGTGCTAACTGTGGTACCAAGTCCATCCTACAATGAACTCTCCAAAGGCTGGTTCCCTTATACACATAGGCCTGTGATAGGGTTAGACTTGAAACACAGGCACCGTGACACATAACAGAGGACATAAGCAGGATTCTAAAATAAAAGTTACTTCCTACTTACAAACTGTTCGTTTTTGGGATTGACCATTTAATGTTTCCAGGCCCATTAAATGGTCAATCCCAATCCATTTGATGGTGGGGAACTGGAACTTCAAGAAGGAAAATTTGGGGCATTAATGGTATTTGAGGCCAAACCCTAAAGATCTTGAGGTTCTGGGGTGACCAGATTGGCCCCTTTTTCTGTCCCGGCCTCCCTATCTCTCTGTGAAAGCCAAGGCAGCAAACGCCTGTCTCACTCTCTGGCTCTCGTTAGCATCTGGTTTCTCAGGCTCATTCTCCTCAGTTACTTGTAGGTACTCCCCTTCCCAGTGGGTTCTTCCAGTCCCATGACTGCTGAGCTCTGCACTGGGTGTCTCCACTCCTGCTCAGCCTCCCAAGGGGTCCCCCTCCATGGGCCAAGTGACAGCAGACTCTACTGTGAGTACTCTACCGGCTCTGCACAGCCCAAATCCTCTCCTGTGTTGGACCTGAGCTGTACCCTTAGGCCCCCCAGTTGAAACTGGGCTGCAGGGATGCTGGGGGGAGCCTTCAGGAGGTGCAACCTGGGAGGAAATGAAGTCACTATGGGTGTGGTCTTGACAGGACTATTAGGACCTGGGACCTTGGGATTTGGGGATCTCTTCCTGTCTCTGTGCTCCCCAGCTGCCATGAAGGGCCAGGCTCCTCCTCTATGCCCTTCCCCTGTGATGTGCTGTGGTGCCCAGGACAAAGTGACCATGGACTGAAACCTCTGCTGTGAATCTCAGGTGTCCTGTCCCAGTGTGGAAAGCCACTAACACAGCTGTCTTGGTGTCCACACTGTCCTTCCTGTCATGGTGGACCCCGTCTGCATTCTTTAGTTGATTGGTAACACCACAACTCAAAGCTTAGGAGCTGATCTTGAAGCCCATAAGCTCCAGACCTGAATCTCAGTTCAGCCCTGTTCTGGCTTTGGGAATCTTCACTTCATCCCTCTATCATTCACGCTCCTCATATATAAAATCTTGGTGACCAAGACAGTAGTAAGTGGAAGATGAGAACCAGGCTCTGAGCACTCTTGGAAAATAACTTGTGCCACTACACTGAAGCAGTGCTGTCCCCTGGTGTGGGTGTGATCACTGAATCAGTCCTCAGCCAACTTCCCAGGGCAGAGTGGTTTCTTTGATTCCTTTGCCTATCTTTTATGTTCTTCAATCCTATATCCTCCTGCTCTCACACTTGCAGAAGCTCTCAGAATTGGCCCTGATTCACTGGTGTCCCCAGCACCCAACCCTATGTTCTAGTCTTGAGTGCCAACATCTGTGACATGAATGAGTCTGCTCTGAAGTACTGATGGAGCATGAAAGAGACTGTCACCGGCAGGGGCTGACTGTAGTGTCATGGGCGGGGCTGACTGTAGCATGGATAACAGGAGGAGGACAAGAAAAGGAGGCCACAGGGATGTTAGCTATGGGACTTGGGGATTTGAATTGGGTCGATTCCAGTTGATCCATAGGCTTGGTCCTCAGTGCTCAGCTGGGCAGACTTCCAGGCTAGCATGCTCAGTGGCTGGGGCTGGGATCTGGGGCACCATATACACCTGTCTGGTAACAGGGCTGGGGTGGCTCTTATCCTGAGCTCTGTAGATGGAAGCTAAGCATGGCCTTTCATCCTGGGGCTGCTCGAAGGATGCCCATGTCTCCCAGGGATAGCGAGACACCAGATGAGTCCCCTTCCTGCTCCTCCTCAGTCTTCCTCCCATGGGTCTCAGCTCCTAGCACCCACACAGCCTGACCTGGCTGTACACCATCTCCCCTTCCATCCCCTGCCTTCCTTTCCAGCAGCTCAGCCCATTGTGCATTCCCTAGGCTTATGGCACCTCCTGATGTTTGCACTTGCCAATTCCCAGATAGTCAGTCCCTCAGGGCTCAGGCTCAGTGCTAAAATAAACCTGCCAGCACTCTCACCCCTCTTGTCATTCTGCCTGGTTACCTCCTTCGAGCCAGGGCTGTCTGAAGTGATGCATCTGCTCACACACGGCCTGTCTCCCTCCAAGAGGGAGGACTCTCGCCTTTCTTGGTCCTTGTGTTTTTGGTGACCAAGACTGTGCAAGGACAGAGGTCTGTGGGATGTGAATGGGTGCACTCTGTGTGTGTGTGTGTGTGTGTGTGTGTGTGTGTGTGTGTGTGTGTAGCATAGAAAGCAATCTTGAAGGCTAGGCAGGCCTGGAGGTCAGGATGGATGGGAAAGAGAAGGGGCTTATTAAAACTGGGGACAACTATCTGGTGACTTTTCAAAAACACTTTCACTGCCCTGATCTTTCGCGGTCACTCAGTTTGGAAATTGAACCCAACATCCACCAACTCCCAGACTGAGGTGTTTGGGGGTTAGCACCTCTGGAGGAGAAAATCCTGTCCCTGAGCGAACCCCAGCAGCATCCCCGGCCGCGCTCGCCAGGTGTCGCCGTGGGCGTGTTCGCGTCGGGCAGCCCGGGTGCCCCAGACTCGGTTCCGTGCGGCCACAGCTTCAGCCCAACCCCGGCCACCCTCGGGGAGCCCACCTGAGCCCCCTGGCCCACCTGCGCCCCACCCTCAAATGGCCTTGGTGTCGGAAGCGCACACGGAGCCCGCACCCTCCGCGCTAGTTGCAGTCCGGCAGAACCAGGAGCGCTACCCGGAACCAGCGGAAGACCCGGTGAGTCCTTCGGTCCCCAGCTCCCTGTGGTTCCCAGTGGCTGGGAACCGGCAGCTGGACAGCGCGGGGTTCTCCGCAGAGCCCGATCCTTTCCACCCAACACAATCTTGCGCATCCACTCTCTCGAACCTGCCAGTTTTCACAGCGTAGGGGGCGAGCAGAACCTAACCCCTCAACCCCTGAGGGTTCCCTCCTCGCACCCGCGCCCGGGTGCCAGCAGGGAGCGCCGCGGGAGCGCGCCTGGGCGGTCGCTCGGAGGCGGCGGGGGAGGAGCGGGGGAGGAGGGAGGAGGGGCGGCGGCAGCGTCCCGCACCCCCGGCTCGGCGCACTAGCACCCGCCGCTCAGCTCCTCCGCGCCGCCCGCGGCTCCCGCGCGTCTCGGCCCCGGCGCGCACAGGCGCAAAACAAGCGGCCCTGGGACCTCGCCCGAGCCCCGGGCGGGCTATGCGGATTGCGCCGCCGGGGCCGGCCCCCGGGATCAGCGACTCCCGGCCCGCGGCCCCGACCACCAGCGGGGACTATGACCCGGAAGGCGCGACGCTGCCTGGGCCACCTCTTCCTCAGCCTGGGCATGGTCTACCTCCGGATCGGGTAAGCACCCAGCAGGTCTCAGCGAAGTTGGCCAGCCTAGGAGGGAGACGCGCAGCCCGCGGCCACCGACTTCAAGCCAGCTGAGGGACCGGGGTGCGGGGTACGCGGAGAGGGAGGCACACAGAAGCCCCGAGAGCAGTACCCAAGGCGTGCACAGAAGACAGACGTGGGCAGGGGATCTACACCTAAGGACGCCCACCAAAAGCTGGGGCAGCATTAGGGTGCCCTAACCTGAGACTCTAGAGAGGATCGGCTGGTGCCGAGGGTCGCTCTCCCTGTGACCCTACAGACCGTGGGAGCAGTAGGTCTGGCGAGACCCCTGAACTGGGATCGCAGTCTCTCTGTCTGTGTTCCTGGGGCACTAGGAACTGAGCACGGCCTCTCCCAGCGATGGGACAGTGCTCAATCGGCAGGCGGGCAGCAGCGCAGATAGAGAGGACAGGTGTCCAGAGGCGGGGATGGTCACAGGCAAAGCAAACGGCCGGCCCCTCAGAGCAGATACTACACAATATCCAGAGACCTTTGCACGCCATAGCCCTTTCCAAGCCAAGGAAGGGTACAGCCCTTGCAATCCCCAGCTAGCGCCCACAGAGGGAAAGTCTCGCCGGTCCCGCGGACCCTGCGCCCGGAACGGAGCAGCCTCAGGCTGCACTCTACCCACCCCTGGGGTGGCCTGGGCACTCTGGCTGGAGCGGAGGGTGGCGTGGGACGCGTCCTGCGCGCGTATGCACTGCCAGCCTTTCTTTGTACGCAGGAACTGTGTGCTGGGCATGGGGAGGTGTGGCGGCGGGGGCTCTAGTGAGGATAGAGTTGTTGACGCCAAGGGCCACCTTGGCAGTTTGGAGACCTGCCCCTCTGGCCCCTGCAGTGAACCTGCCTCCGCTGCTTAGGGGAAGGCGGGGCTGCAGGGGCCGTAAGAGGGTGTGCGTGGCAGCTCCTTTGTTTTGTCACTGCCACCCCTGTTCGCACTTCCCCGCCCCACGATCTCTGGAGCGTGGATTTCGGGACTGGAGGCGCCTTGGCGATGATCAGGTGCGCGCAGAAAGGGCCAGGCAGCCACCAGCCGGCCAGCAGAGAGGCTGCGGGGGCGCGCTGCCTGCATGCCTGCCTGCCTGCCTGCCTGCCTGCCTTCTAGCCTGCCTTCTAGCCTGCCGATGAGTTTAAGTGTTATTGATTTGCCCGCGTCTGAGTGGCTTTTCTTTTTCCCCTGCTTTAATCTTGATCTTGGCCCGCTCCCTGCCACCTGGAGCTCGCCCAGCATCCAGGAAGCAGGTTGGCCCATTGGCTCTGGCTGCAGGCTGCATTATCTGCTTTTTAATTAGGAAAGGGGGCGGAGACATTGGGGACGGGAGAGTGAAAAGAAAAACAGCAAAAAAATAACCTCTCCTGGCTGCCCCAGCATCCTGCCCTGACCCCTCTCCCCAACTCTGGCCTCTAGGCCTGGAGATGCCCAGCTCCCCTGTGGGTCCAAAAGAAGAAGGAGGAAAGGAAGGAAGGAAAGAGGGCAGGGTTGAGTCAGAGAGGTGTGTGGTGACTCCGGGCCACATCTGCTGCTCACCTAGCCTTAGTTTGCCCATCTATAAAGTGGGCACAAGAAGTCTCTGAGAGACCTTCCAGTCCCCAGAATCAGCTCCTCCCTGCTTCTAGTCAGGTTATTCCACTGAATAGTTCCCCTGCCACCTCAGATGCTCAAGCATTAGTACTTACAGCACACTGACTGGGTATCACAGGGTGTCCCACACCTCCTAAGCATTTTCCATGTTTTCACACATTGAATTTTTACTGAAGCCCCAGAAAGTGAGGCCTAGGTATCCACACCTTCATTTTAGGATGGAAAATCTGAAGCATAGAGAGGGAGTGTATTCTGTCCGAGGTTACCCAGCCTGGAAGTACAGGCAGTTGTAGGAGCTGGTCTCTTGTTCCTCTGTGATAGGGCACCCATCTGTATCCACAGTGTCCACTGAGTTAGACATCCTGGTGATGCTTTAAGCTAGTGTTCTAAGGTTCGGCTGACTTGAAGCCAAAATACATGCCCTGCACGGTCCCAGGTGCTCTTCCTCCAGCACCTCCAGTGTCACGGGAGCCCACCGTGACAGTGGCCAAGAAGGGGCCCCACCACCTCCTGCATAGGCCAGCCAGCACCTTCCTCTGGGTCTCAACCTCTGTCTCTCTGTGCCCCCTCCAGTGGCTTCTCGTCGGTGGTAGCTCTGGGCGCGAGCATCATCTGTAACAAGATCCCAGGCCTGGCTCCCAGACAGCGGGCGATCTGCCAGAGCCGGCCCGACGCCATCATCGTGATAGGAGAAGGCTCACAAATGGGCCTGGACGAGTGTCAGTTTCAGTTCCGAAACGGCCGCTGGAACTGCTCAGCTCTGGGAGAGCGTACTGTCTTCGGGAAGGAGCTCAAAGTGGGTAGGTGCTCACCCACATGCCCCCAACAGGATCTGCCAGGCTTTGGGGAGACCGTCATGCCCTGGGGAACCTGCCAAGACCATGCCCTCAGTACAGGAACCTGCAGGTGTAAGGACTGGTTTGAAGCCGCACCACCCAGACCACTTAGGGGCAAAGTAGCAAACCATCAAAAGCAGCCCAAACAGTCACTGGCCAATAAGATTGTTGTTTTAAACAGAAGCCCACATTTTAATATGAGCCATTTCACCTAAAAATTTGGATTTCTAGCTTCTTTGGAAAAACAACAAGTCTGTTGAGAGCTGACACGTGCCCACTTGCCCACTTGGTGGATAATAGAGTGGAGCTGAGAACCCAGAGTCCTGCAGGTGGAGCTGAGGCAGGTCTTTGAGGTCACAGTCCCCACCACTCCTTACTGCTGCCCGGCGGCCAGGCTTGCACAATCCCAACATAGTGTGCCTGACTCTGGGAGCTTCTGATTTTGCAACCCCTGTGTTTTCGGAATGGTATGTGCAGATAGGCAGGCGTGAGTGCACACGTGCAAAGATAGACACAAAGAGTTGAACCACATATTCAACCTCTGAGAAGTTGCTGCTAGAAAGGGGGCAGAGAAAGATGCTGGTTTCCAGGAGGCCCAGCCCAGTAGCAGAAGGCTAGGGTTAGAAGCCTTCAGCCTGGGGGCTCAGCCTTCCACCTTCACTGCTCTAAAGCCACCCTGAAGCCAGTGGGAGTGACTGAAAAGTCATGCTCCCATCTAGCCACCTGCTCCAGCCTACTGCTCTCCCCTGAGGTCACACTGGGTCACCTCTGAGCTCCCAGACTGCCCCAGGCCACCCTGTCCTGTCTCCTTGCCTCTGGCCATTCTGAAGACATTTCTGCTACCAGCAGGCAGCAGATCCTTTTTAAATGGAAATCAGGTCTTGCCACCACCCTGCCTAAATCCTTTGGAGGCGCCCTCCCAGCAGAATGAGGTCCCAGCTGCTCCTCTGGCCGCTGCTGACCTCTGGCCCCATCTCTCCCATAGCCCTGATCCCTTGCTCACTCACCCCCATCCTCTATCCCAGATGTGCCAAGCAGGCTCCTGCTTCGGGCCTTAATGCCTTTGTACCCTCATCATGGCCCCAGGCCCTGTCCCTTCTATGTGACACTCCCCCAGAGCATCTCCTGAGCTCTGCTTACTTGTCACATACCCACCTCTTGCTGCTCAAACCTCCCATTCCTGGGACCCAGGCTAGGGCTCTGGCCCTGTTTTACATATCTTGGCTTTGCTGGTATGTGCAATGGTTCAGAGGAGGAAACTGAAGCTTAGAAAGGACTTGCCCAAAGTAAGAAAAAGTGAGTAGCCGTTCTCCCCGGACTAGGTGAATTCAGGCTGGGAATGGGAGCAGCCAGTGCAGGGACCACAAGGGAATAGTGCTGGGCCATGGGGCAGAGCTGTGGGCCTGGGACAGTGTAACTGATGTAGTTGTTGATTGGGCCCCTCAGTCAGGCTGTAGAGGAGGAGACCTCCCAGCCTACTCTAAGGATGAAGAAGGGTCTGTGGCCAGAGCAGGTAGAAGTGACCTCAGGAATTCAAACCCTAAGAAGAGCCCAAGGAACCCCAGGAAATATTGATAGTTGGGTGAGCTGGCAAGGGCTTGATGGCAGAGCCAGATGGCATGTGAGCGCAGCTGAAGAAGGCTGAATTTCCAGGTGGCAGGAGCTTATAGAGGAATTTGAGTGTGGGCATGACTGCCAAAGTACAGCTTGAACTGTATGAAATAGTACCTATTCAATGCTGACTGACCCACCCAAACAGCGACCTCATAAGATTCAGTCTGATAGCAAATCTGGACAATTAACTAGAGGGTGGATACAAACACTTTTTATTCACTAATCTGCTCATGCATTCACCTGTATTTCTTATGTGCCTACTGTGGCTGCCGGGTCTGTTCCAGTGTGTGTGATCAGGGAAGGCTTCTGGGTTCAGGAGAGGTGGAGCTAGGATGAGACTGAGAGCAGCACGCAGTCAGAGGGAGCAGTACATGCAGAGGACTTGAGGTGAATGGAGTACATACTGCAGTCACCTCTGAGCTCCAGACTTCCCCAGGCTGGGAGAGACCCAGGGGGTAGAGAGCCAGGAGCTGGCCATGTGGCACTGTCAGCCTGGGGCAGCAGTAGTCTGGGCTTCCCTTTGTGTGACAGGAGAAAAGCCAAGGGAATAGGGCTGGGGAGTAACAGGATCCAGCTTCAGATTGGCAACAACATTGGCCACTGCGAGGTGATAGTGACATTGGGACCTTGACAGTTCAAGGAGTCCTTTCCCCTCTGATGTTTCTTGTCCTGTACCAGGACAAGATGCTCAAATTGGGGGTTACCTGGCTTCCCGTTTGTGCTTTCATCCAACCCCCAGGTTGATTAGAACTTGGCTAATTAGGGCTGCCTTACAGGGTGAGGATCAGGGCTACTGTCACTGACTTGGAGCTGTCACTCTTGACAAGTCTGCCCAGAAGCTGCACCCTACAAATCTGCTCACATCCCATTAGCCAGAACTCAGTCACATGGCCACTCTTAGCTGCTAGGGAAGCTAGGAAATATAGTCTTCCTAGCAGCCATGAGACTAGATAAGGCTGTGAAACTGAGGAGGAAGAGGAAAATGGATGCTGGGAGAGATGCTAACCCACAACAGATTCCCCACCCTAAGAGACATGAGGGCTCCCTCTTACCCCCATCTTTCCCTCCATGCTGGTCCGTAGCTCTGTCTGTGCTCCAGCTCTGGCTCTGTCCTGCTGATTGTTCTGGACTTTCCCATATAGATCTAAGAAGGTAATAGCAAGAGACTTTGTAGATACAAGAAGCAAACCCAATCTGAGCCATCCCAGGTGGAAAGAACCATTTATTATGTCAGGAACCTGAAAGCAAGAGGTCTGGTGCTGCCTTCCAGCAACCCCAGGGCCACTCCAGGGGCAGTAAGACAGCTATTGCAGCCCAACACCACAGCTTCCAGGCCCCAGGCTTCCAGGAAAGGGCCTTGGCCTTTCTCTGGTAACACCTGCAGAAGCCCAGTGCTTAGTCTGCTTGGACTGGTTTATGAGCTTGAGCCTTGGTCATGTGTCCTTCCCAAATCAACCACAGTGGCCAAGGGCAGCAGGCTTTTTTGGCCAGGCCTGGGAATCCCTTCTCTCAGGGCAAAGGACTACTCATCTGTATCCCACGCTGCTCACGCTACCATGACAAAGTACCAAGACTGGGCCCCAAACAATGGGCATTGATTCCCACAGTTCCAGAGGCTAGAGACCTGAGACTAAGGTGCCAGCAGGGCTGGCTTCTCCTGAGGCATCTGCCCATGGCTTACACAGGGCTGTTTCTTCATTGTGTCCTCACATGATCTTTCCTTGGCTTCTGGTGTCTCTTTATCTTAACATCCTCTCTGTAAGGACACCCATTATATGGAGGGCCACACTAATGGCCAAATACTCTCTCTCCTGAATTGGATCTTCCTGCTCTTTTGTTGTCTCATCTTTAATTTGTCATCTGTTTATATCACCCAAAAGTAAATAATTTCATTTTTGTAGCAATTATGATTGTGCAGGGTTCCACACCCACTGTTCCAGCATGCTGCTGCTGCTGCTGCTGCTGCATGGCTTGCCCAATGCAAGAGGGGCCAGGACTCTGCATCCTTGCCCAGCTAAATTAGTGGAACATATGAATCAAAATCACACTCACTCCTTGGATCACATTTTCCTGAGACCTGAAGGCATTGAAAGCTCTTCTATCAGATTTCTCCTGAGCTCCTGTTCTTGACTTCTACTCATTTCTCTTTTGGATTCTGATTTTCCATCAGGTGTGGCCAACAGGGTTGTCCCTAGTCATGGCCCAGGGGAGCCAGAGCTAGCCCAGCCAGTGCCTCCATTTGTCACTGCCTCCTACCACATGTCCTTCATTGAGACAGTCCTTTCTCATAGATCACCTCACACTATCCTCATCACCTCTAAAAGGAATGATGTCCACCTCCATTCCTTCCTCAAGTGAGGGGGGAGGTGTCCAAAGTCATGAGGCTGTTGGTTACAGCAAGCTCTGCAATAAGCCCCTCTTGCAGAAAGGCCCCTTCCCAGTGATCTGAGATTCCCCAGGCTGCTGTGTATTTGAGAATCTCTTGTCAGGTTATTGGGTTGTGCAGGAGCCAGGTGAACTCTGGAACAGTCACAGGCCAGGTTTCCATCCTATCCCACTCTCCTTTGCTCAAGACCCTGGGCATCTGTCCATCTGTAGCAGGGAGCAGTCACATGATGCCTTATGATACTGCTAGGTGGCAGCAGCATTATATGACATAGTATGTAAGACTCTGGCACCCAGCAGATTGGGGCAATCAGAGAGTATCACTTTCCATGAGGCAGAGGCTTGTGTGCCCGTCTTGCATGAGAACTAGTGCAAGTAACTGGGGACATGTGCTGTCAATATCAATCTTGGTGCAGTAGAAAGTGCATCCAAAGTGTATCCCTAAAGCTGTCCACACTGCTTCCTACCCTGACTCATCCCTGGCACTGTGAGGGTAACCTTCCCTTCTGGTATTATGCAGGCCTCTGCCTCACGGTCTCCTCCTCCAGGAATCCCTCCTTGACCACCTCATGTGAAACAGTTCTTTCATAGGTCATCCAGTGCTGGTATCTTTCCAACACTTGCCATTCTGGAAAGTGATTTTGCTTATTTATGCAAGAATGAGTCCAATATTCATCCTTCCCCAGCCTGAAGCTGCACAGAGCCATGAGCCATCTAGGCTATTACCTATTCCCTGCTGCCCCCCAGGCCTGGCACATGGTGGTTACTCAGAGAACATATAAACACATGAGCCCTTTCTATCCTGTGTACCCACATTGCCCTGAGCCCTGGAGATCTGAATGCCAGGGCTGGGTGCCCTTCACATGTAGCAAGCACTCTGTTTTTTGTCCTGAATGTGAATGTTTTTGTTTCTGTCCCAAAAATACAAGAGGGGCAAGAGATTCATTCCCACACATTTTCACTCA